ATTTGAATTTTTTAATCAAAAAACCAAAATTAAGCATCTTTTCTCTAAATTTCAAGTAAAATAAAAGAAACTCTACCGGTTTAATGTAATTTTAGGTGCTGAACAAGTTATATTATCTAGCTTATAGAATCTAATTAATAACAGTATTTTAGATGAGATTGCATTTTATAAAGTTAGTAGAGTAGAGATAAATAGAGATAATACAAAGTTTAATATTGTTTTTAAAAAATAGATCTAGAATAAGAGCACCTCCAAGATATATATAATAGCTATAAATATAAGATTTAAGATAATTTTGAATTATAATATTGGTTTTTTTAATAAAACTTTACAAAATAAACCAATAGTAGGTTTAGAAGTTATTGTTGCAAAAAGAGAATTTAGTTTGTGAGATATTTTGGTTTTAATAATAGAAGCAATTGAAATATTGTAGTTAGTATAGTAATCTTGCTATATTTATCTCGTAGAGATAATATTAAAGTCTTTGACATTATAAGTTGTAATAATAAGATTAAGATAATTAGAGAAGGAGTAAAAAGATTGGATAGAAGATTTGTAATATATAAAATATTATTGAAAAGCAAGAAAAATATGGCTAGAGAGAATGCTATCAAAAATGTTGAGATATATATGTATTTCAAGTATAATAATATTAATAGAAATTTTATAAAGTTGAACAAAAAAGTTTTTAAGTAAGTGTTTTAAAAATAATTTAAGTATTTGTGGGTTTAAAAAGAGGAAAAAAATTATGTTTATAGAGAAATTTGTTGAAACATATTTTCTCAATAGAGTGGGACAAATTAGTAATTGAGGAAAAGGAGAAGTCTTCTGCAAAAACACTTATATATGCCTAGCTTTATTGGCTCTTCCACATCTTATACTCACTATTTCAACTTTTTTTTTTTGTGTTGTTAAGGTGAAGTTATACTCATATCTTTATTTGATAATTTATAATGGCAATTATATTAATAACCCATTTGTAACAACAAATATTTATAAATTACATACAAGAATAAAAGCTCAAACTAATTTATCTGTGACCTAAACCTACTAGAGTGGTCAAGGACTCACCTAGATTTGAATTATTAGAATGTAGTTTGTATTTATATTGTTTTTAATCCAGTAGATTGTTTTTTTGGAAATTACTTTTATCTCAAGGTTTACATAATTGTAGAAGTACTAGAATAGAACTCGTTCTTAGTATAAAAAACTTATTACACGTTATGATTGAAATTTAAGCACTAAATCAGGTAGCAACTTAATTTTAATTTCCAATAAGGTATGAGTTATACTTTAATAACATTAAAATCTAATAGATCATAAATGAAATTATAAACTAATTGGCATTTTATTTAGAAAAAAGTTCTCAATAGATAAGATTTCTGAACGGAAGTTAGAGGCAGTATACAAAATTAGACGGTTTTCATTTTTCCAGAGCTACTCAAACGTTCATCCTCGGTCAAAAAATATCATTTGCGTTTTAAGCAGATTTTATATTACGTATTGGGCAAAAATTGTCGAATAACGGTAATTTGACAAATGAGCACGTGTCACAAAGCGGCACGTGTAGCCAATCATTTGTCAAATTACGTATTCGACAATTTATGGTAGGGAGTCACTCGCTGAGTTTTTAATTTGAATATTACAATTACATCAAAAAAAATAACAAAAAGTAATTTTTTCATGATCATGAGTTTGTCGGATAAAAATTATTATTGCACTTTAGGCAATAGATTATTAATATCTGCGACTTATTATAATTAAGAATATTATTGTAATTTTAGTAAAACGTTTAAAGATAAAAACGATAACTAAAATTTTATTTTAATAATAATCATTAATCTGCTGGATTTTAAATTTCTTCCAGCACGAGGTCATCTCATATTCGCGTGAGGCTATATGATATGTGAAATTTACTAGGTTTATCGCGTACCTTACCATAAATGATATTGATACAAAAGCAAATGAAATATAATATCCAGGTTTTTTATACTTTTTACTTCAGATAACACATGAAATTCAGAAAGCAAAAGAGCATGTCCGTTTTGCTAACTTATATGCCAATGCGCGATAATACTATACATCCATTTTGCTAATTTATATGCATAAGATATAGGATACGTGACAATACTATATATCCATTTTGATATCTTTTCCCAATATGCATAAAACATAGAATAGTTATGCTTTTGAGCATTTTCTTCATCATCTTCATAAGTATCTACAGGCTTGTATTCCTCCGAAGAGAATTTTGTGTGTTGCTCTTCAAGAGTCTCGTTTTCTTCAAAATATTTAGCATTGTAAGCATCCATGGATATATATTGTTTCTTTGCTGAAGAAAATTGTGCATGTTGCTCTTCAAGGTCTGCAACTGCTTTTTTCAAATACTTCATATCTTCGGCTGATGGTTTTGTGGGAACATTTTGAATTTCTTTGGCAATATATTGTAGATTGCGACGATATTCTTTTAAAAAGTTTTCAAAATTTATAAGGTTTGGTGCTATTCCCTTCAACGTTTTAATTATAATTCGTACTCGTAAAAGCTCATCCTCGGCTCTTTTTCTCACTGTAGAATCGACAATATTACCTAACCAGTGTTCTTTTAAAGCTCGTTCGGCTTCACGTTCTCCATCAATCAGATATCCATGTGTATTATCTGCACTATTATGGACTGAATAAATCGCGGAAAGAACTCGCCTAAGTTGTTCTTGAAATTCAGGTATCTGTTTTTCTAATACTTCGAGTCGTTTATAAATAAATTCCGCTGCATCATTTGACAACAAGTGGCTATTTGTTTTAATAAAATATTTGAAAAAACCATATTCTAACCACTGCGAATTTTCAATTTCTTGTGTGATAGCCTTCATTTCACTTGCAAGTGAAAAGAAAAAGCTTTTTGCTTGATGCCGAAATTCATCGAGTTCATCACCTGCAACCTGTATTTCTTTATCTAATCCAAAGAGTACTTCAGAAATTTTCTTCCCATTTTTAACTACAATATCACTTTTTTCCATTATCACACCAAGGTCTCGAATGATGACACGATTACTACTCATTTCACTAGTTTCTAAATAAGTTTTAAAAAGCACTGATTAAGTAAATTATATAATCGACATGTATTAATTAAACAGATATATATACCTGGAATTTCAAGCGATGACAATTTTTCTGATCCAGAATCTGCTAAATTTACGATATTTTGAAAGATAAGAGTTTTATTTTGAGAAATTTCTTGTCCATATCGCATCTATAAATAATATCAAATTTAATTTAATATTAATTTTTGAAATAAATTAATATTTAATTTAATAAATTCGTTCTTACACTCATAAAAATCATTAGTAAAGTAATTAAACATATCAATAATATTCCAAATATTCGTGAAAATAAGAATTTATCGAGTAATTTTTTAGGTGCTTTATCATCTTTATCAATTAATTTTGTTTCATATGTAGCGTCATTTAAAACGGGTCGACGCTGTCGAATTGTTGAGGAAACTATAGGTGATAAAAACAATTCGGCGATTATTACAAGTTAAAAAAAGAATTTACAGAACAAATATCGTAATGTTCAAATTTAATAATGTTCATTTGTTTATTTATGTTAGAGATGATAAATTATAAATATGGAAAAGTTAAAGATGTTTTCTCTAAAACTTTTATTAGAATTTCTTTGCTCTAATTTTAATAACATTCAAACATTAATATAAGAGGATTCGGTATGACTTTCATGGTTTGCATTTTGATTCAATGATTATATTAATTTAAGGAAATAAAATAACATTGGAAAAGCTATCAGTACCTTCATTAGAACGCTCAGCAGGATCTTCTCGTTCTAATTTAATAGGATTCAAACGATTATCTAATGGGGATTCAGCACAGTTTTCAATATTTGCTTGCATGTTTACTGTTGCATCTAAAGTAGCGATTTATCTAAAGTAGCTAAAGTAGCGCCTGACTAAAATTAGGCCCCTGAAATTAGATCTTCATGCATGCACTAAATCGTAATTCTAGCCCAGGGCTACTTTAGATAGGGTGGCTACTTTAGATGCAACATTTACCATTAATCGCTCTTATCGAAGAGTTATAAATTGATTCCTTAATCTCTGATCTTGTCAAATTTCCATTCGTATTACTTTTTAACTACAATAGGAATACTGTTTCCATCAAAGCCTCATACGTACGTAATAGGAATGCAAATTCTGCAGAAACTAATTTACAATAGGAATCCTATTTCTGCAGAATCCTTCTGGATTTTCATATTGCATAAACGAATATCAGACTTTATCAAAGTTGGTTATCAGAAAAAAATCGATAATTTTACTTTTCAACGATACAGCTATTTCTGCAAAAACTTTCATTATACTATATAAAATATTTTGAGAAAGTGTTGGAATGGTGTTCCAAACAACGTCCGTTCGCTTTAGAAGTTTATAAAACCCTTTAGAATTTAAAAACTTTATCATAGTCTTGATAAGGTTGAATAATATAAGAATTTTAATGGTGTTAATTTATTAATTATATTGGCCAACCAGATAATATAAATATCAACTGTTATTTGCTTAATTGATGCAGATCTAATATTATATTTTATTAAGTGGAAAGCGAGTTAATTAGCTGGTAAATTGATGTAGTACTGTACGTGCATAAAAGAATTATTGTGAAAGAAACTAAAGTAATTTAGAAGAAATTAGGTTCCTTTAATGCGTGAGTTCAAAGACAAAAACAGTGTCATTGACTTAACATAATTATAAGCTGTGTTAATGTTGTAGGTGGAAACGGAATTTAAGTGGATTTGGAATTTTATATAAAAAAACCCATTTCGTCATATACACACCCTAACCCTAACCTTAATTTAACTATAAAATTCCAAATCCACTTAAATTCCGTTTCCACTTACAACATTAATATGGCTTATTTCATTCATCATTCTCAATACTTTGCGCTAAAATATAATATACTAGGTTAGCAAGAATTGTTGCGTGTCTGGAACGTAATGATCGATAAACTTAAAATGTGATTAAAGTTTGTGTTACGCGTGATTTCGAAAATCATCTGATTATCCATATTAGTAACGATAAAAATTCTATTGTGCCCTGATTTGAAAATTTGTGTCACGTTTACACGTCTGAACAGATGATAAATGAGTGTCGCTAAATGAAAACCCGAAAATTAAATATGATTTGTATTTAAATTTTCGGGTTTTCTATTAGCGACACTCAAATATTATGCGAATTTACAGTATTTCCGAAGAATTGATTTTTAACAATTGAAAAAATTTCAAATTTTTATTAAGGAAATGTATAATAAAATTGGGAATATATATATATATATATGGTGCACCTGTGCATTTGATGTAGGGATGGAAAAAAAACGTTTTAAACAGTTTTTTAGATGTTTTAAAACTTTTTAAAAAACTTTTTAAAACATTGGC